GAAGCTTTTTTCTAATGGTAAATCCACAGTATACAGTAATCCAGATAGGCAAAACAAAAAATTTAAATATGCTTATTTGACAATTTATTTGCATGTATTGGTTGATATTTTTTCACAGTTGTCGTTTTCTTTAACCCAAATGAAATCCAATTTCAATATTTTCTTATAGTGGAAAATATTTTCAAGTCACATAAAATAAAACAACGAGAAAAACAAAATTCCAAGCAAATCAGGCGGGCAGTGTAAGCGATTATAACCGGATGCAGTTCCTACATAAGTCTTATCTGGTTCAAAACACAACTTTGAGTGAATAATGGTGGGCTGATTTTGGAAAATGGACCCATAAATTAGGGGGTAAAACAAGTATTACTTAGCATAAAGGTAGAACTCTCTAATTTTCAAATATACCACTCTTATAGTGGAGACCTCCAAAGTTTTTATGAAATATGTACCCAAAGTTATATATCGACGCTGGAACTAATGCAGGAAAGGTTTATGCATATAAGCAAGGCCGTTTTTCAACGGTATAAAAAGTATATACAGTCTTACATACATACATATTTATCAAAATATTCAGAATGACGAATTGGTGAATGAATTGGTTCAGTCGTGTCTGTTTGTAAACACGCTAACTCGAACAAAATTTAGATATTTTAACGAAAGTCGGTGCCGAAGTTGCCTTTGGTATAATTTAGGTTAGTATTAAATTTTGGCAATAACCACGACCACCTCCCATGTAGTAATCAACAATATTTTTGTTTTATTATTTTTTTTAACGAATTTCCCTGTTAAAATTGACATTTCAAATATATCAACAAACATTTGGGGGTACTTTTGCACGGTGACAGGTAATAAGGTCAATGGAATAAGGTCAATTGACTTTATTTCGCTCCAGGGTGGGAAACCTTTTCTAATATTACCTTTTCAAAAGCGAAATAAAGTCAACAAAAATTTGGGAATAAAGTCATTGACGCTATTTCCTCATTCAAATGGAAATAGCGTCAACAATGCTTAAAGTATGTCGATTCATAGAAATAAATGTTGTTCTTACAATAAACATGCCCGTAAGTGTGTTTTTTTAATAGATGAAAAACGTTATTGCCAAATCCCCTCAGTTTTGTGATATTAATCCACACACAATCATGAACTACCACCAATTGATTGTATTAAAATAACTAAATTACGAATATGTAAAAACACGATGCGAAAAACTAAACGCCTGCGCACAGCTGGAATACGAGAAATATTTGAAGAAAGAGTGTAGAAATGATCCATAACTTGCAAAACATGTTTCGTTTCCACAAAAATAAAGGGAACACTATTAAATTGAAGAAACAGTCCATGTCCAAAAACCCCGGAGGAACACTGAAAGAATTCTGTGTTTTAAATTAGCATATTTTGAACGAATTCCGAATGTCTAAGGTGGAAAAGAAACCAACCTTTCTATAAGGAAACAATTATAGAAAAAGAGTTTTCTTATACTGTATTCATGTCTCCGCCAGCAATTTGTGACGACATAATTTAAAAGCAGCTAAGGAGAACGACGACACTATTTATTAGATGACACATTCAACGAGCCAATGTGCCAAAATGCGGGTATAAACAATTATTGATTATTTAATATCGGAACCGAGATCTTATATGTTAATTGATTGGTTTTCACACACTTTTGAAACACAAATTATATGCTTTCTTACTGCAGACAAGTTGTTGCCCTAAACCACAGCAGAAATCTTCCATTCAGGGCTGCCAACTATCCTTAGTTATGAGGTGCCATATTGAGGATAAAAAAGTGCCAAAATGTGCCAAATATAAAAATAAAAGTGCCAAAAAAGGTGTCATTCCTTTTAATCATTCACATTTAGCAATAAAATAAAGCTACATTTTCCAAACAAAAGTGCAATCATAAAATAAGATAAACCAGTTGAATATCCTTTATAAATTGGAAAATTTTAGTTGAGAAAAAGAAGTGCACGCAAAGGATTTCACAAAAATGTATTGAAATGTTATTTTCTTGAAAAATTAAGTGTCATTTGAAGTAAAATAGGGACAAATGGCACGATTTGAGCCAAGTTGATATCCCTGCTTCCAATAACTTACAAATATAAAAATGTGAAATATCTGCACCAGGGTGAGAAATAAAGTCAATTGACCTTATTTCCGTTGATCTTTTTACCTGTCACCCTTTTGCACCAGTCATTGCCTATGGGTTAATGACAAAATAATCCTATACATGCACAATATTTCATGTATTAATTTTCAAATAAGCATATTGTCAATGGCTGGTTTACTGTATACTGTGGGTAAATCTTACTGACAGGGTCGTCGGAACAAAATTGATTGTCAATATCCCTAATGTCTCCCTGAAAGTTGCTTGATACTTCCGCACTGAAAAATTTGTTTTCCCAACAAGTAACTTGATAACACTTAAGGTAAATTTTAAATGTTTTGAAATATCACAGTTAAATGGGCGAACACGTAAACTTAATTTTGGGCTCTATATTACGATGCCGTTTTCACGTAAACATTTTGAGATATTTAGTGGAGAAGTTTTTTGAAAAAAATCGAAGTTTAACAAAGGTAAAATTAAAAAAATAAAGATTTTTTTTTAGTTTTTTCATTTTCATTTAATCAAGCTGCTAACGAAGAAAATCGGGGATATTTAAAAGAATGGTGAATAGGCAAATGAAATGTGCAATGATTTTTTCGATGCTATATGGGCTGCTAATATGTTATCCATACGGCATTTACTACGCCATGTAATGCATACAATGAACCAATAGCCAGAATTATAAGGCTTTGCAATTCTCATGCCTCACTTTTAAATTGTTGTGATAATAAATGTAATTTCAAACTTAATCTTTTTAAAATCTATATTTAATGCATAATTAAACTTTGTCTTGAGTTAAGTAATAGTCTGTAAGAATTCTATTTTCTGTAGACTAGTGAATAATAAAAAAAAAATAAAATTATTAAAAAAACTGAAAATTAAATATGTCGTCATTCCTGCTTATATTTCATACCAAAAAATCATTGCGCATTTTTATTTGCCTGTTCCCCATTCTATTAATTATCCACCGATTTTCTTCATTAGTAGCTACATTTTTTCGTAAAAGAACTAGCTTTAATTCAAATGAAAAAAAATTACAACAAATCGGTTATATCTTTTCCTCCCTGTTAAAGTTTGAAATGTTTTGCATAAAACTTCCACACTAAATATCTAAAAATTTTGAAGTGATACGGATTTTCTGAAAACGGTATTGTAATCTAGAGGCCAAAATCAAGTTTACGTGCTTAGCCGTTTGGCCATGATATTTTGGCCTCCCTCTAGGGCAAGATCCAAGGCCGACTCACCAATTTTATTTTCGAAGAAATAATGCCATCAAAGCATAAAATGGACCTTAACATTATATTAGCTACAAACGAGAAAAAAGCGCTATGATCCAAATATTTATAGTATAAATTTTGAAACGAATCTAACAACTCAGTGAAGTGGGTATTATCATTGTCCAACCCTCCACACTTGGAAAATGTGAATTTTCTGTGCGAGAAATATAATTTAGTTTTATACTTTATGAGTTTCGTATTAAGCTGATATCTGACTTCAAGTATTAGCATTTTCGAAGTTATTAAATTAATGGTTAAAGAGAAATTATTTAAAGTTTCAAGGAAAACGAGTTACAATGTCCCACCTGTCACGTTGGAATTCTCCTTATTTTATTCCATTTTACAAAATTAATTCTATTATACTGTTTCAGCAATCAATTTTAAAATTTATCAGACTGTTAAGATTAAAAGAGAAAAATTTTCCGAACAAAATAAAAAAAACAAATATAAAGACCAGCATTTTGGCTTTAACAAAGGTAAGTGGCGTTTTGCGTACCTTTCCAACCTTATACCTCTAGGGCTGCCTACCCCAGCAATCAGATAGGCACATTCCTAGACAAATACATATTAACACTTGAAATGCAAAAGCACGTAACAACATCGCAACTGAAATTGAAAAAGTTGTGACCAATATTTCAATTTTTTTTTTTTATTTTTATAAAATCGTATTTTTATAAAGTTATGTGGGAGTTCTAATTCGATGAAATCCATCATATAATTCAAAAAGTGAATTTTGAATTTTTTTATTCATCTGAGTAATCTGATACAAATTTTTGTTACTATAATTGTAATCTAATACTCATTCGATTTACGATTCCAATCTTTATTCAAACTATTTTGAATCTGATATTAAAGTAATCGTAATCCCCAGTCTTAAGCGGAAGTTTTTCTTGGTTATTTTTCGCAATTCACCCGCACCCGGTATACTACAGTGATATCTTTGTGACATATAATAGAACGGAAAACAGCAAACAAATCAAAAAATAACAAATTTCGTAGAAAAAGTTGTAGTAGTTTTAAAAAACAGCAGGTGCACGTGCTAAACTTTGTTGGCGATTTTCGATACTCCGGCTTGCGGAAACCGTCAGATTATATACTTCCCGTTATCCTTGAGCTACTTGCTTTAAAATAAAAAAAAACTGACCGCGCTTGAGAATGTTAAGGTAATTTATTTTTTTGCAAGTTTGCGACCCTCCCAATCCCTTGCGTCACGCTCAAATCGTCAGATTATTAAAATGCACACTTTTCAGAATGTGATTAACCCACCATTTCTTAATCTGACGCGCTCGAGTAAATCCACCTATAAATTTTTTTTTACTATTCTGATTAGCTGTCCTATGCGCGCGGATCTACACAGATGGCTTAAATTTGGCAGAGGTACTCAACAGAATACAGGGTATCCCCCATATGTAAACCTGACGCGCTCGAGTAAATCCCCGAATCCCCTCTTGGGCTCCCCTACTATTAGTGTGGGCAACCGTGATGTTTTTCATCTCTGGGAAGATAATAGCTGCAATAATTTACCATGATTTATATCAAAATGTCTGGTTAGATTAACCAAATAATAATTTAATACTTCTCAAAACACAGAATTCTTTATTTCTGCCTTTTAGTATTGGATGTATAAATTCAGAAACACCACTGTCACTGCTAACACTGCGACGCCGGATCTGACCCCTATGCAAAAAAGCTTTACCAGTGATCTTACACTCGCTGCATCTATTTCAGGCACAACATTTCTCATACTGAACGCTGTTTATGGGCACTGTATCTCTTTGAAAGTAAAAATGCTCGGAGCATTGTTTATGATTTTAGGAATATTCATTGTAACGGCAAGCTTTGTGGAAGTTAACACAGACCAATGGCAAGAACAGTTTTTTCTTATCACACTTCTCACTGTAGTCATCATTAACGGTAAGTAAGGCCGAGTTTTATAAATAGAATTGAATATGTGACATACTTTTTTCTTCTGTAGTGTCATCGGCCGTAATGTCAGGGGGAGTATTCGGTGTTGCTGGACTCTTTCCATCACATTACATGACCGCTCTGGTGAGTGGTCAGGCTTTGGGCGGTATACTCTCCGCGCTAGCTTTTGTTTTAGTATTAGCATTCGGTGCCCCTCCTAATGTTACTGCTTTGATATATTTCATTATTGGTAGTGCTTTGGTATTACTATCCATAATTTGTTTTGTGATTATGTCGCGTCAGCCATTTTTCATATACTATTTTGAGGGTGGGGACAAGTATAAAATATTGGCCGATATACCTTCCCATAGTCGCAGTGCTGATATTGTAGTGCAATCGGAGCCGAATGTAAAGGAAGTCTTTGCTAAAATTTTCATTGAAGCAGTCAACATATGCCTACTATTCGCAACTACACTTTCGATTTATCCATCAGTTACAGTACTAATGCAATCGGAAAATTATGGCAGAGGACATGCTTGGAATGGTAAGTTTTTGCAGTACGTTGTTACACTTTAATTAATAAATTGTGTTTTCCAGATATTTACTACATACCAGTAATCAATTATCTTTTTTTCAATTCTGGAGACTACTTTGGTCGAATACTGGCGGGATTGTGGGAAAGAGTGAGTTAATAATGGTTAAATAAATACAGCGTTCTACTTATTAACTGTTAATAATCTTCTTTAGCCGCGTGATAACCCACATACTGTTATTTTGATGACTGTGATACGCCTGCTATACGTTCCGCTTTTTCTTTGTGCAAATAGTAATGTACATTATTTTTTACCCATTCTTGTACATACAGATGCAGCATTTATGATAATGATTATTACTTTTGGTATAACTAATGGTTATCTGGCCAATATATGTTTAATTATGGCTCCTAGGTAATTTTGAGTTCGTTGAAATATGCCCATATAAAAAAATTAACCGTAAAAATATCAATAATTGCAGATCGGTCATGCAACATGAAAAAGAGATGGCGTCTTCGATTATGGCGGCAAGCTTAAGTTTGGGTCTGGCTGCAGGATCTTTACTTAGCATGGCTTTTGTGCAAATGCTTTAGCTCGCCAAAAGTGTAACTCAAACTTAGTGCTTTATTATAATATAAGCTTATAAATAATATCTAAATACATCCATATACCTGGCAATAAGAAATAACAGCTAAAGTAAAAGTTGACTTTAGTATAATGCAAAATAAATATAAATTTGTGACGTCTCTTTTGAGCGTCTTCAAAAAATTATCAAATAATTTTTGGATCGCAATCTTAAATGGGGCATTTCCAATCGAAGTGCTATTTTCCCTTTTTAAATTTTTTATACGATCCAAATAAGCTTCGGCATTAATTTTAACATTCGCTTTCGCATTCGCAATAATCAATGCGGTACTTTTGCCAAATATTTTTTATTCCGAAATAAAAGTTCTTTCCGGATAATAAACAAACCGCTTATCCAAATTAAACGATTTTGATATCAAATGAAATGGATTTAAATAGCATTAAATCTGAAATGTCTAAACGAGGAAGGCCACTTATTTCAATAAAAATGTTAATTAATTACCACAGAACAAAGCCTTGGGTCAGGTATATGAATTTCTTTAGTATAAGATTGTAATAAAAATATATAAATAGAGGTGGCGACCTTCGTTCGTTATTTCTGTTTCAAAGCTATTTCAGTCCTCTTTCATATGATACCAAATTCGTTTAATTTTTTCTTTTTTATTTACTTTTATTATTATTATTATTATTTACTTTTATTTCGGAATTTAGACCAAGTTAAAAATAACAGTTATTTTCAGTCCCTGGAATATTGCGCAAGCGCATTGATAAAATGTATATCTGGCCAGTCACAGAAGAAACGATTAAAAATGAATTACAGAAACTAAAATCGAAAAACGCTGATGACGTTACAGGTTCTCCGAATTCTACCTACTGCACATAAAAATATTTGTCCCCGATCAGATTATTCGATAATCAACATGAAAAAATGTTAAACAAAGAAACAATCAGGGTATTCATATAAACGTGTAAATGCATCGCAACTGTGTAAACCTCGTAAATAAACCGGGTTTCCGTACAAAATTAAACAATTTTACAAGGTTTACGTGGATATAAGGCTTTTACGCGTGTAGATGAATTGCCCTAATGAAAAAAGGCTTAACTGTTTGTGAATGACCACGTTAACTTTTATTGATTTATTCTATTTTTGACTGAAAAATTGTATCAGCATAAGCGTGGCTTTCTATTATAAAAATACGGCTTTCCCACGGCACCCCTTACGTAGTTCGCTCTCTCATACGTAATTCGGACTCCAATTACCCTTCGAATTATTACGTAATTCGCCATACAAAGTTTTGAGAGCGAATTACCTCATTTGTTTGTAATTCAGATCCAATTACCATGCGAACTACGAACAAATCGATGCAATTTCTAATTTTTATCGGAAATGTATCGAAACTATCCCACAAATAAAAACCTGCATATTTCTGAGTATCAAAAGTAAAGTTTGTAATATAAACTGGTATCGAATCGAAATAAAAATAATCGATGCAGGAAGAAATCGTCAAAAAATAAATCGATCTTTACAGGCGAGAGGCAGGCCGTCAGAACTCTCACGTGAAGTATAAAGTTAGGGTGTTGGGTTAAACATGCAATTTTCTGCGAAAATAAGTGACGAGGTAAAGTTCTGAAAATTTGCAATATAATCGAATACAGCATAAGAAAGTAGGGAAAAAATTGTCAGAAGTCTAGGCGGAAGTTAAAGATTCGTCTGGAGGCGCTTATGTTGCAAAAAATGTTTCAACAATTATGTCACTAGGCAAACTTCTGGCAATTTATATACTTACTCTGTAATTCACAATAAAATTGCTTGCAAATTGTCAGAAGTCTAAGTGGAAGAATAACAGAGGTATTCCGATAGTAAGAGCGTCGGTGCTCCACTCGATCCATCATTCTCGTATTCTTGTCGTCTGTCAGGGCAAAATTACTATGCGCATTTGTAAGCTAGATTATCTGCATAAGCATGCCCGTCTGTCTCGCGTTTTAGACAATGAGCTAAACTTTTATAAACAAGTAATTCAAATTAATTGTGTTTCTGTTTTGATAGTGAGCAGACAGCATTGGAAAAATGTGTCAAGGCATATTCATCAAGGTAGAAGTGACAACTCAGTCGAGTTGACTATAATGTCAAAAAATGTAAACAAAGAAGACACACAAAATTACACACTAAAGGAAACACACTCATTTATAAAATCGTTTAGGCAATTTTCTTGCTTTTACTAGCCCCATGTTTTTGAGCATTTATTTTTTACTCAAATACCTAATTCTGAAGTATATTAGACATCAAAAAAAGTTTGATTCTTCTCAATTTAAATCAGAACTTAACTTCAATATTTTCGCTTTTGTTTTTTGCGATTCTAAATTTTCCATTAAAATTATTAATAATTAGTAGAGCACCCGCCGTCGTTCGGGTAAACAGTAATTCAGCATACAGTTTCTTTCTCTTTAAATTAAGGCGTCCTTATGGGCCCTACTTTAAGCTTTATCGTGCTTCAACTAATATATGCTGATCATCACTTTCTGTACTACAAATCTTGTTCCATTATTAATAAATGCGTTCCCTAACTCTCAAGAGGTTGCAAGAATTTACAGGAATTTACCAAAAAGCGTTCCCGTACTCGGTTCTCTCGCTCTCACCCGATTCTCTGAGTGTATGAAATTTCTACGTGCTAAATTAGATGTAATTTATTTTAATTAAACACAATATACTTAAAATATGCGAAAATCAGGCGATAAAATTATTTTTAATATCTTCAAAATATTCTCTTGTGATACTTTTTCCTACTTATGTACATGTAGTTAAGAAATGAAGCCATTTCAAAATCATTTCGATTGATTCCCATATTATAATAGTTCATTGAAATGATTGAAAATTTTGAATTTTACTTTTTATACCGTTAATTCCTATAATCCAAATTGAATTTAAATTTTCAAACATGTGGAGTCCCCGCTATTCATATGTTGCTTAGTAGTAAGGCCTTTTTAAGACTCTTCCGATTAAACCATAGATTGTAATAACTCATTTAACTTATAATATAATTGTATTTGAATTTAGATTTATAACAGGTGGCAACCCTCTTCAAACTTTGGAAAACCCTACATGTTTAAGCTGAACATTTCTAATTTAAACTCGAGTTTTAAAACAGTTGGCAACCCTTTTCGAATTATTTTCTTACTAAACCCTATTAAATCCTTCTTGTCTGACGTCCATATTGAGATACATATTCCACACTCTGAAAAAACATTCCTTGCCGCTAGGAAAATAGTATATTATTCTAAGGAAATATTACCTTGAAATCGCTCCAATGACATGGCTGCCTTAATATGAGTAAACGATTTGACTCAGTTTAAGGAAAACACAATTCCTTAGTTTTTAGGAAAAATTTACTTGCCGTTTCATCCCCAGTGAAGGGAATAAGTATGACATTTTGCTCGCGGCGCTCGAACAGTGGCAATGGCCGACAGAGCAAAGCTCTGGAGTACTAGTCGAGAGATGCATGGTTCGGAGTCCCAGAGCAGGAAATTTTTTACAATATTTTGTTTACTGTAATTTTTTAAATTGTATTTAAAAAACAAATTTATATAATTTATTTTTTATTTTATTTGAGTATTTATTTAGGTTTTTCCATATATGAAATAAATTTTACAATTTGTAATTTATATTTAATATTTAAATTGAAATGATTCACTTACCTTACTCTAGCCACCTTCAACCTGATTCGAACCTGCGATCTCAGAACCCGAAGCTGTAGTCTTCACGCGACGCCACAACCGAAAAAAAAAAAAATTATTACTTACATTGAGTAAATTTACTTCTTCAAATAAATGACGCCCTATTTTGAAATGAAGGAATAATTTTTGAAATTGAGTAAATTTCAGCGCAACCTTGCTGATCTTTTTTGCAACACTATTGCCACTACTTTACCACTATATATCTCTATTATGAGACAAATCAGATCAAAAATATGATTTTTGGTAATAATTCGACTCCAGAGCCATCTGGGGGTTTAAGTTGTGAACCAAACACACGTGCCGAAGAATTATATATGTATTTACAGGTAGGTAAAAGTTTCAGTATATTTGGAAGGTGCCACGCCCACTTTTCTTCATGAGTATGGGAGTGATACCATATCAAGTTCCAGGACTCTACCACAAATACTTCCAGAGATAGGCGGTCGATTTATATGGGGACGAAATTTATTATCGGCCTATAACCAAAAGGGGTCCACAATTTCAAAGAAATCGGTACAGCCGTTTGCGAGATAACCTCTTATAAAAATAGGGGACTTCTCTTATATAATTGGAATAGATATTAAATATGTATACGTAAATAGCCAATACCCGATTGCTTTGTGGCGCCTTAAAACGCCTTTCCAACTGTAAAACAATCATTCAATTCTGTTTTATGTATATCTATAATACGTGTACCGAATTTCAAGAAAAACGGAATGTTTGAGATTGTGGTAATTTCTCCAGGTGTATCCCCCTACTAGCATACCGACACGGCGCCTATGTCATGCTAAAATCGCCTGATTGTAGCGTTATACCATTTCTTCGCATTGATATACGCATGCTGCTACTTGCATACGCATATATACATATGTATGTACTTATGTCGACGACGTCGCCGACTGCATAAAATTTTTATGTACGTACACACGTTATCACATATGGTAACTGCATAATATGTACACATCATTTTAGATGCATGCCTTTACTTATCTGCTATATACGTATGGTTCGCATTGCTCATACATAAGGTACATACATACATAGCTACAAGTGTACATATGTATGTGCATACCTACATTATCATTAATATATTGTTACAGTTTTTATATAAGTACCATTCCTTGTGAACTTGAATATTATTATTGGAAATAAAGTGACTGAGTTAAAAGGGCAGTAAGAATTCGGTCCGCTTACTTGCTCATTCGGTATTTTCTCATACATTTTTTGGTGCCTCCTGTGAGGAACCGCGATCACTTGAATCCCGTGTAATGTAATGGCTGCATTAAAATTACGTGCTTCGGCACATGCTTCAATTTTGCGCCTCGGGAAAGAAGTCCAGGACGAAAATTTCGATCCGGATAAGGTGGAGTGTGAGGTTTTACTTAGCCGAGTAAATCAACACTTTGATCGGTTTGTACAACATCATTTCGATCTGGTCGGCAAGGCAGAGGCAGATGAGGTTTCAGCACATGACGAGTTGTTTGCTTCAACGGAGGCGATGTATACCACAATATGCATCACATTACAGCGCCGTATGCCTTCCCAGAAGGCAGTTAATGCCACGACTTCCATCACCAACCAAATGGCTGACATGCGCCTGGACCCTGTATCAATTCCCAAATTCGACGGGAAGCCTACAAATTGGTTGGCCTTTAAAGACCTATTCGAGGCAATGGTTCATAGCCGAACAGATTTTGATCGATCCTACAAATTGGGCAAGCTGCGGCAGTGCGTCGACCAAGAGAATGTTCCGATGATTGGTGGGTTGTATACTGGCGGGTACGAGGAAGTATGGTCTGAGTTGAAGCGCCGCTACGATAATCCCCGCCTATTGTCTGAGACGCATGTACAGAGCTTTCTTGATCTACCAGAGAACCCAGCCGAGACTCCACTTGCGCTGCGGACCATCGTTGATTGTGTGCGCAATTAATTCCGTGCCCTTGCCGTCATGGACGTTCCCGTGAAGCACTCGGATGCAATAGCAGTTCCCGTAATTTTTCCGAAACTACCGACAGTAACACGAGACGAATGGGGTATGAGTCTTGTAACCGTCAATATACCGAAGCTAGAAGACTTATTAATCTTTATTGAGCGACGTGCCAACAACATAAGCTCCACCCCACGGTCCGTAAGCATTCAACACTCGTCGCGTCGTATAGCCTCTCGTACAGTCAAGGCGCATGATGCATCCGCAAAGTCAGCATCTTCCGCAAGTACAACGGCTGCAGATGTTACTTGCCCACAGTGCTCGGGCAACCACCGTCTCATGAAGTGCCAACGTTTTCACAACCTGCAAGTACAGGAACGCTGGGAAGTTGTTAAGCGCCTAGCAGTAGGTTTTAATTGTCTTCGATCGGGGCATACCGTTCGTCAGTGCTCCTCTGGTGTGTGTTCCGGTTGCCAGCAGAAACACAACACGCTCCTCTGTCGCAGTGCAGACACCACGCACATGGTTAGTCAAGTAAATACATGCGCCTCACCGTCAGCACCCGCAACAGCAGTTAGTCCTACATCATCATCTAATTCACACACTGTGGCGCCCCCTAGCTCTGCAGGACCACAAGTGTATTCACGTAATCAATGACAGATGGATGAGGTCCAGTCATTCGTTGTCCAGGGTGACCGGACCATCTTACTTGCAACGGCCAGAGTGCTACTTTCGGATCGTTATGGACAGCTGCACAAATGCCGTGCATTATGCGACATCGGATCTCAGGTGAGCTTTCTCAGTGAATCCATGTTTAAGCTTCTCAACCTTCGCAGAACCTTCGGTGAGATACGTGTGGAGGGGATAGGTTCAAGTGCATCTGCATACACTAAGGGTACCACAGCGGTTCAAATGCGATCCGCCATTGACGAGACATTTTCTCTGCAATTTGAAGTCTATATTCTGCAGACGATCACTAAACCAACACCTGCGTCCAAGGTTGACACAATCGCCTGGGATCACATCTCAGGTCTCCAATTAGCCGATTCAACATTCGGTACACCTGACAAAATCGATTTACTTATTGGCGCTGATATTTGGCCCTCATTGATTGCCGATGGAATTGCTGCGTGACCCCCCGACGATCCGTGCGCGCTCCGTACCCGCCTCGGTTGGGTTGTGTTCGGCCCGCAACGGTCAACACATCAAATGATACGAAGTGCACTCTAACTACCAGAACATGCATCAGTGAGCAGCTACTGTTGAAATTGTGGGAGGTTGAGGGGATTTTGCCTAAAAATGATCTCTTGACAGACCCATGCGAACGAATTTTCATCGACACTGTACGGCGCACAGAAGATGGCTGCTATAGCGTACAGATCCCATTTCGTCCAGACGCGCCAACTTTAGGAGACTCCTTTCAAGCAGCGCGACGTCAATTTTTTCACGTTGAGCGAAGGTTAGCCGGCGACTCTGAGCTTCGCAAGAACTATACAACGTTCATGCAAGAACACATAGCACTTGGTCATATGAACGCAGTCGACTATGACTCTTTTGACTCAACGCAGTGCTATTATATTCCCCATCATGCGGTGACGGGGAAATTTCGCGTAGTATTCAACGCATCCTGCAAAACAACAAATGGGGTGTCTCTGAATGACACACAGTTTCCGGGCCCACAGCTTCAAGATAATCTGATCGACATTATTCATCGATTCCGCCGCTATCGGATCGCAGTAACGGCTGATGTTAAAAAAATGTTTCGGCAGGTCGACATCGCAAATGGCAACGTATCTTGTGGCGAGAGTCTCCAATCCAACCACTGCGTATCTTTGAGTTGGCAACAGTAACGTATGGTATGACAAGTGGGCCGTACAATGCGATCCGTCAATGTGCGGTAGATAACTACGAAATAGTTGACAACGCCAGCCGGGCAGTGGTAGCGAAAAATAGTATCCTCGTTGGGTTTTATGTTGACGACTACCTGGAAAGTTTCGATTCCCCTGATGACGCTGTTCACCGTGCCTATGATGTCGATGCGATCCTTCGGCAAGGTCACTTCATTCTTGACAAATGGAGCTCGAACTGCGCAATGACACTTGCAGCTGTCACCGACCCAGAGTGGTCAACCACTGAAATTAAATTATGTGGCTCCGATGCTACCGTTTTAGGCTTGCATTGGAATCCTCTAAGCGACCACTTACTTTTTAAGGTGAGCGTTGCAGAATCACATACGTCACCCACAAAGCGCACCGTTTTAAGTGATGTAGCTAAGTTGTACGACCCGATTGGTCTGCTGGCGCCAGTTATTGTCCTGGCAAACATTTTTTTCAGACGCTGTGGAAGGCAGACCTTAAATGGGATACTCCGTTACCTGCAGAGCTGCGGGATCAATGGCACGTATTCCACAACGGCCTTCGCGAATTGGCGCTTATCCGTGTACCCCGTTGGTTACGCATGTCATCATCTTCACCTGTAACACTTCATGGGTTCTGTGATGCCAGCTCAAAGGCCTACGCTGCAGTTATCTACGTAAGTAGCATCTCTGCAGAGGGCGATACCCAAATGGCCCTTGTTACCGCAAAAACTAAGGTGGACCCGGTGAAGGAAATTACGATTCCTCGCTTAGAGCTTTGTGCGGCACACCTACTTGTAGTAACTCTACGTAATGTTCGTCGGGCGCTACGTCTCGAGAACGTACCTTATACACTCTGGAGTGATTCCACCATAGCGCTCCACTGGATTCGCAAGCCACCATGGTCGTTAAAGCAAGTCGTCGCTAACCGCGTTGCCTTTATACAGGCCAACACAGATGTTAGAAGTTGGCGCCACATTCGCTCCGAGTTCAATCCGGCTGATTGTGCGAGTCGGGGATCTCTGCCCACATCTCTTCAGAATCATCCATTATGGTGGACAGGTCCGCCTTCTTGCCAACTGCGCTATGGAGACGATGCAACCGTCCCAAAATTTACTGAGGATCAACAGCAGGCACACGCTGTGGAGTGCCATCCTTTACGTACATTAGTCGCTATTCGCTCTGATCATCAATTGCTCATGACGTCCGAATATGGCTACCGAATACCTCTTATTGAAAAGTTTAGTACACTAGCTCGCTGTCCTGAACACAACTGCGCGACTGAGACGCTTTCTGCCTTCGTTCAGGGGTCAGAGAGCTGAAGTTATGGCAGCCGAGGAATACGAATGGGCCCTGCTTGTGACTGTTAAACAGGCTCGATAGTCGAAGTCATGTCTTACCACTCAACCCATACTTGGATGCTGAGGGTATACTTCGAGTTGGTGGACGCCTCAAAAATGCAGATATTACCGACGAGCAAAAACACCCAATGATTATCCCTAAGGGTGCCTTTGCTATCTTACTCATCGCTGATGCTCAGCATCGATGTCTTCATGGCGGTATCCAGCAAATGCTGCAATACTTGCGGCGAAGGTTTTGGGTGATGCATGCGCGCTCACAGGTGAAGACATATGTTTGGAGATGCACTTTGTGTTGGCGACATCAACGAAATCTTCAGCAACAGCAAATGGCAGCGTTGCCGCGAGAGCGAGTACTTGTGGCGCCACCATTTGCAACTAGCGGCCTGGCCGTTTCATATACGCATAGGTGGAAAGAGATCAACGGCAACCACAAAAACTTACGCAGCTATATTCGTGTGCATGGCTTCACGAGCAGTCCATATAGAGCTTGCTGAAGATTTGAGTGCCAGGTCCTTCATAGATTTACGATCGCTTCGTCAGTCGTCGCGGTATTTGTGCCAAGCTCTTTAGTGACAACGGCACTCAGTTCGTGGGGGCCGAAAGGCAAATGCGTGAGGATTTTCACACATGGGTATCCACATATGCCCAACAGCACGTTGCTCAAGTAGGGACGCAATGGAAATTCATTGCTCCGTCCGCACCGCACCATGGAGGAATCTGGGAGGCTGCTGTTCGCTCAGCTAAGAAGCATTTACTGCGCATTATGGGCCGTCATTCATTGCGCTATAACGAGCTTCTGACGCTGCTAACGAAGATGGAAGCATGCCTTAATTCACGGCCACTGTTAGCATTATACGATGATCCAGAAGGTGGCCTAGCTCTAACGCCAGGCGACTTCCTCATTTGCCGGCCACTAAACTGTCGCCCTGAGCCACCACTACCAGATGTTCCTGACAATCGCCTACATTATCGGCAACGCTTGCAAAGGATGTTCGAAAATTTCTGGCGTCGTTGGCAAAACGAATATTTAAATTCGCTCCAAGCGCGCAGTAAGTGGATGAGACCTGAACCAAATTAACAACGAGATGATGTAGTTCTTATTAGCAATGAGAACTTGCCCCCGGCGTGCTGGCGACTGGGTCGAATCACTGACATCCACCCCGGCAGCGACGGTCTTGTTCGCATCATTACGATTGAATACAACGGAGACCAGTTAACGGCAGGAGTCATGTACGTCAAACGTCAGTGTCAGCGCCCAATACAAAAGGTAGTAAGGCTTACCGGAATACAAGAAGAAATTCTGAACCGCACGGCTTCAGCCGGGCAGGATGTTTGAGATTGTGGTAATTTCTCCAGGTATATCCCCCTACTAGCATACCGACACGGCGCCTATGTCATGCTAAAATCTCCTGATTGTAGCGTTATACCATTTCTTCGCATTGATATACGCATGCTGCTACTTGCATACGCATATTTACATATGTATGTACGTATGTCGACGACGTCGCCGACTGCCTAACATTTTTATGTACGTACACACGTTATCACATATGGTAACTGTATAATATGTGCACATCATTTTAGATGCATGCCTTTACTTATATGCTATATACGTATGGTTCGCATTGCTCATACATAAGGTACATACATACATACATAGCTACAAGTGTACATATGTATGTGCATACCTTCATCATCATTAACATATTGTTACAGTTTTTATATAAGTACCGCTCCTTGTGAACTTGAATATAATTATTGGAAATAAAGTGACTGAGTTAAAAGGGCAGTAAGAATTCGGCAAGCTTACTTGCTAATTCGGTATTTTCTCATACACGGACCATATGTACATTTTTTTCGAATAGATCTGTCCCTGGTCCACATATCAAAAAAAAGTATTCAATATGTTAACCCGGCTAATAAGCTACCTATGCCCCAAATTTCAAGCAAATCAGAACATAAAGAAAATTTTTTCGAAATCCGGAAAAAAAGATATTATATGCTAATCTCGGCAAAAAGCTACCTGCGGCCCAAATTTCAAGCAAATCGGACCATAAATAAGATTTTTTTCGAATAGATCGGTCCCTAGTCCACCTACCTGAAAAAAGTATCCTATATGTTATCGAGGCAAAAAGCTACCTACGTACTAAACTTCAAGCAAATCTCACCATAAATACAATTTTTTCAAATGGCCCCTGGTCCACTTACCGAAAAAAGAATCCTATATCCTAATCTAGGTAAAAAGCAACCTACGTACCAAATTTTAAGCAAATCGGACGATAAATACGATTTTTCGAGTAAATCGGTTCCTGGTCTACTTACCGCAAAAAACAGGATCCTATATGCTAATCTAGGTAAAAAGCTACCTACGCACCAAATGTTAAGCAAATCGGACCATAATAAGATTTTTTCGAATAGATCGGTCCCTAGTCAATCAACCTACCCGAAAAAAGTAAATTTTTTTTTGGCCTAAAACATGCTGGTTGCTGAAAGCTACTTATATACAAAATTTCATGAAAATCGTACGAGCCGTTCGCGAAATTACCTTCTTCTTCTTCTCTTTACATAATTAGTATAGATAGATATAGATATAAGGAACAGCTGTTCGTAAACGGCGGTTTCCGACTAAATTTCAGTTTTTTGCAAAAGTATACATACATATGTCATTCCTGTCATAAATATATCGATGGTCCTTTACAAAAACGACACAATTCAAAATTCAAAAAATAAAAACTCATACTATTGTTAAGTGACTCATGTCTTTAATCGTTGTCTTATTCATGTATAATCTTTACTACTTCCTTTAGTTAGGATTAGACATGGGTTAGCCAAGGATTAGAGACATGAGCCTCTTAAAAGTAATAAAGGATTTGATTTTTCGAATTTTGAGTTGTGTCGTTATTGCAGAGGATCATCGATATGTGAATTCATATATTTCGATAATTAAATAAATTCGAGCATAAATACGATTTTTAGTTACATATACATAATTTAATTTCAGCGCCACCTGGCGCCAATTTTTTTTCGAAAGAATTCTTTTTCCTGTTATCAATACATATTTTGACTCTGAGGATAATCGGACCATAAACACGATTTTTAGTAATAACTCGACCCCAGCGCCACCTGGCGGCTCTTATTTTTTGCAATGGTATTGTTTTTCCTGTTGTCAATAGATATCTCAAATATGGGGCGAATCGGGCCATAAATACTGGTTTTACTAATAACTCGACTCCAGCGCTACCTAGCGATTGTTTTAAAACTTATTCTGCTATTCGGAAGGTAGACAAATTCAGCAAACAAATATCATAAAAATCGGTCCAGCCGTTTTGAGTTATAAATGGTGTAACTAACACGACTTTGTTTTATATATATAGATAAGCACCTACCGTATATATGTATGTCTCCATACAAAAAAAATGTCAGTTTCATGTGACTTATGGTTTTGAAGTTATAGCTGCTAAAATTTCCACGCCTATGGGATGTGCCACGCCCCCTTTTACAAAACCATTTATGTATACCTTACTATAAGCACCTGCCATAGATACGTCTGCGTACCAAATTTCAGTTTCATATGACATGGTTTTGAATTTATATTATTACTACTAGAGCACCCGACGTCGTTCGTGTAAACAGTAATTCAGCATACAGTTTCTTTCTGTTTAAATTAAGGCATCCTTGTGGGCCCTACTTTAAGCTTTATCGTGCTTCAACTAATATATGCTGATCATCACTTTCTGTACTACAAATCTTGTTCCGTTATTAATAAATGCGTTCCCTAACTCACAAGGAGTTGCATGAATTTACAGGAATTTACCAGAAAGCGTTCCCGTACTCGGTTCTCTCGCTCTCACCCGCTTCTCTGAGTGTATGAAATTTCTACGTGCTACATTAGATGTAATTTATTTTAATTAAACACAATATACTTAAAATATGCGAAAATCAGGCGATAAAATTATTTTTAATATCTTCAAAATATTCTCATACTAAAACTATCTTAAACCTATCTCTTGTGATACTTTTTCATACTTATGTACATGTAGTTCATTTCGATTGATTCCCATATTATAATAACTCATTGAAATGATTGAAAATTTTGAATTTTACTTATATACCGTTAATTCCTATAATCCAAGTTGAATTTAAATTTTCAAACATGTGGAGTCCCCGCTATTCATATGTCGCTTAGAAGTAAAGCCTTTTCAAGACTCTTCCGATTAAATCATAGATTGTAATAACTCATTTAACTTATAATATAATTGTATTTGAATTTAGATTTATAACAGGTGGCAACCCTCTTCAAACTTTGGAAAACCCTACATGTTTAAGCTGAACATTTCTAATTTAAACTCGAGTTTTAAAACAGGTGGCAACCCTTTTCGAATTATTTTCTTACTAAACCCTATTAAATCCTTCTTGTCTGACGTCCATATTGAGATACATATTCCACACTCTGAAAAAACCTTCCTTGATGCTAGGAAAAAAGTATATTATTTTAAGGAAATATTACCTTGAAATGGCTCCAATGACGAGCTGCCTTAATGTGAGTAAACGATTTGACTCAGTTTAAAACACAAGAAAACACAATTCCTTAGTTTTTAGTTTTACTTGCCGTTTCATCCCCAGTGAAGTATGCCATTTTGCTCGCGGCGCTCGAACAGTGGCAATGGCTGACAGAGCAAAGCTCTGGAGTACTAGTCGAGAGATGCGTGGTTCCGAGTCCCAGAGCAGGAAATTTTTTTAAATATTTTTTTATTTTTATTTTTATTTTTTTATTGTAATTTTTTAAATTGTATTTAAAAAAACAAATTTATCTAATTTATTTTTTATTTTATTTGAGTATTTATTTAGGTTTTTCCATATATGAAATAAGTTTTACAATTTGTAATTTATATTTAATATTTAAATTGAAATGATTGACTTACCTTACTCTACCCACCTCCAACCGGATTCGAACCTGCGATCTCAGAACCAGAAGCTGTAGTCTTCACGCGACGCCACAACCGACATTTACTAGGAAAGCAATTAACTTTGTCTTAACAGCACTGACAAAATTCAAAATTGTTTAAGGAAATTATTACTTATATTGAGGAAATTATTACTTATATTGAGTAAATTTAGTTCTTCAAATAAATGACGCCCTATTTTTAAATGACGGAACAATTTCTGAAATTGAGTAAATTTTTCGTAATATTAAGGAAAAAACAGTAACTCGAAAATAAGGATACTTTTTTCTTGATGAAGGAAATGCTTTTTTCTGAGTGCAATTATCAAATTCCTTTAATTCAAGAAGAATTTGATTTTTCAAGCAGATGGCAACCCTCCTACATGTAGTTTAGAACTAAAACCCTTATCAAAAACCCCTTGATTGATACCCATATTGTAGTAATTCATTTAAATTAAATGAATTTAATTTTTAAACGGGTGGCAACGCTTGTAAAACACCTCAGTAATATGTTTAATGTTCAGCTTGAAGGTTTCTTAGCAATCTTTCATTTGACACCCATATATTAATTTTTTTGATAGCTTGAGAATAATTAATTTAAATTTGGCTTTTCGAACGGGTGGCAACCCTTTCAAACTACAACTTTTTAAGCCTCTTGTCATCCATTCTTTAATATAATTTTCAAATAAATAATTCCCTTAATTCAAGTCGAATTTGATTTTTTCAAACAGGTGGCAGCCCTATTCCATGAAACTGGAATTGTTTTTATATACGTATATGTATCTATGCCAAGTCCCTGTACACTATGAAAATTCCGTTTTATGGGAGGTGCCACGCCCCGTATAATCGAGATTAAATCTATCCTATATTTTAAGTTGGGCTAAATGGCCCCAGTGTACAAAATTTACTGGGAATCGGTTGAGTAGTTAAAGCGTGAAAACGTAACAAATTTATAATATTAGTAAGGATACCTTACTATAAGCACCTACCATAGATATGTCTGTATATCAAATTTCAAGTTCATGTCACTTATGGTTTTGAAGTTATAGCTGATAAAATTTCCATGAATATGGGATGAGCTATGCCCCCTTTACAAACTCATGTATATATTTATATAAGCACCTACCGTATATATGTATGTCTCCATATAAAATTTCAATTTCATGTGGCTTGTGGTTTTGAAGTTATAGCAGCCAAATTTCAAGTTCAAATTACCTATGTTTCCGAAGTTATAGCTGATAAAAATTTTCACGCCTATGGGATGTGCCACGCTCCTTTTTACAAACTCAAGTATATATAGCTTACTATAAGAACCTACCATAGATATGTCTGCATACCAAATTAGAAGTTCATGTGATTTATGTTTCCGAAGTTACAGCTGATAAAAAATTTCACGCCTATGGGAGGTGCAACGCCCCCTTCTCGAATCCCATTTTGTATACCTTTCATGAGCATGAAATGGTATTATAAGTTTGGTCCGATGTTTGTAAGTACCAGAATAAAAAGAGATAGACCCATTAAAATGTATACTTATATGATCAGAACGTCGAGCTGAGTCGATTTAGCCATGTCCGTCTGTCCGTCCGTCCGTCTGTCCGTCTGTGTGTCTGTTATGCAATCTAGTCTCTCAGTTTTCGAGATATCCGGATAAAATTTGGTAGGTGGGTGTATTTTTATAATGTATTAATCATTTGTCGGAACCGGAAGAATCGGACCACTATAACAGCTAGCTCCCATACAACTGATTGTTCAGATATGAGACTTTTCGTTATAACTTCTCCATTTATGCAGCTGGGAACACGAAATTTTGCAGTACTTGCACCCATTATCAACAGAATACTTACAGTGATAATAACAAAGATCGGGTCACTATAACCTGCAGCCCCCATACA